TCCACATTGATACCATTGGGCTGCAGGGTTCCCAAGCGGAATATGAGTTGCTGTTCCTGCAACCTTCGGGTGGCATCGTTGTGGCACTGCAGGAGGCCCAGGATGGACATGTCGTCTGAGGAATGGGAGGGGGAGTTGAAATGGTTCGCGACTGGGAGGTGCAGTTGTTTAGTGCGAACTGAGCGTAGGTGTTCTGCAAAGCGGTCCCCAAGCCTCCGCTTGGTTACAGCACCATCTTAGGTACAAATGTACCTAGGCACAGAATCTTAGTACAAAGCAGAAAAATAAAGAAAGCAAGTTCAGTTAAACATTACAGTCCTTCTTACTAAAGCATAGAAAAACAAAGAAACACAGTAAATAGTTTAACATCACAGTCTGTAAGTGCCTCGCCATGCTGGGCTCGCATTCCTCACAAGGGCTTGACCTCCCCCTCACCGCCATCTCAGGCTGTCTGCTCCCGCTCTCACTCCTCTCCCCACCCCCCACCCCCGAGGCTGTCTGACATTAGTGACCCGTGTGAGTTTTTACAACAATCGACACATGCTGATATTTGACCCAGATTAATATTGAAATTAAATCCCACAATCTCCCTCACTGCCTCTCCACCTCCAACCAATCAGCCAACAATGTGTTGGTTGTTGTTCCTCACTCCCAGTTCCATCATTAGCACAGCCTCAAACATCATTGGCCAGTAATTCCATTCGGGAAAAGGCCTATCATCCCCCTCTCACCGGTATCCCCCTCCCCGCCCCAGGTCGTACCCAATATCCACCTCCCCTCTGCTAACACTGTGTGGAGTCTTGCTGTGCCTTACACTCAGGGCTGCACTGGCAGAATTTCTCACAGAAGTTCTGGGCCGTGACACAGGGACATGTGACATCACAGGGCCGCTCGGGGTGGTCACATGGCTGGTAATTGTAAACCTGATTGGATGAATTGTCTGCAATAGAAGAAAGCACAGAGAATAAACAAACTCGTTAGCCCATGACGCGACCCTTCCCCGACGCGACCCTCCCCTGAAACGACTTTCCCCCGAAGCAACCCTCCCCCGACGCGACCCTCCCCCAACACGACCCTCCCCCGACACGACCCAGCCAACACTCCCACCCTCCACATTCCACTTTTGATCCTGCCCCTCCCCCTCTCCAACACTTCCCCCTTGATCCTGCTCCTACCCCAAAACCCCTCCCTTCAAACCAGCGGCCCCCTCAACACTCCCAACATGGACTACAAGTGTCAGAGTCATGTACAATGACATAGGTTAAGAGGTCACACACATTGGACACAGGGTCAGAGGTCACACACATTGGATACAAGGTCAGAGGTCACACACACACACAGGGATAGAGCTCAGTGAATTATTTGAGTCAATTTGTGACACTGGCCTTTCTTCAGCTGCATCCTCCTGCAATGTGCTGCCCACAATCTGTAATAGAGAGAAACCAATTCAGAGGCTGTCCCAGTCGCAGTGTTAATTGGTCAGAGTTTATAAACTATAGGATGAGTCCCTAACTCACTGGCCTAAGGTCTGGAGCAAGGGACCAGACTGTCTCACTCAAACACCCGTCATTTTCCTGAAAACGGGACAGGGTCAGAGGTCAGAGGTTGAGTCTGCAACTAGACAGCATTACAGGATTCTGCCTCTGCTCCCAACGGCCTTCATTGATACACCAACAAGCCCCTTTTAACAATATCCAAACATTTCTCAGATGATGATGTGTTTCTAGTTGAGCTGAAGAAGCTTTGCCTTGTTTCTAGGACTTGGCACCAGGTCCTGCCTCGCAAACTCACAAAAGATAGAAGGAAATAAGAAGTGGACCATTCAGCCCATCAAGTCTCACCTACAATTCAACATAATCACAGCTGATTTTTAGTTTCACCTTCATTTCCACCCACTCCTTAGGCCCCTTGAAACCAAGAGGTCACAAGTCTCTTGATCCCATCCGTAAATATATTCAATGATGGGGTAACCGTCAGGGTCAGAGCATTCTAAAACCTCACAAGCCTCCGAGTGAAAACAATCCTTCTCATCCCTAAGGAATGCCCCCTTTATCCTGAGAAAGTGCCCTGTGTTCTTGATTCTCCAGCCCGGGGAAACAACCTCAGTGTTGACCCTGTCAAAACCTTTAGAGTTTCAGAACATTAATGAGATCACCTCTTGTTCTCTGAACTTCAGACAGTTCAAGTCCAATGTTCAGTACTCTGCCTCTTATCATAGGACAATCCTTTCAAGAGCAGGCTGGTTAGGTATGGTCAGTTCTGAGGAAGGGTCACTGGACCAGAAACATTGACTCTGCTTTCTATCCACAGATGCTGCCAGACCTGCTGAGTTTTTCCAGCAATTTCTGTTTTGTTTCTGATTTTCAGTATCTGCAGTTCTTTTGGCTTTGTTTTGTTAGTTATGGTCAGTACCTTGTTGTGAACTGTCACATGGGTATGCTATTAGATGCAACCTGCCATTGTTTGGGATGTACCTAGTACCACTCCAGCACTGAAATTCATTAACCTTATTTATGTGATAGGTAAAAGGTCATTTTGGCTTAAAGGCAGCATCCAGTTGTTGGTGAGTGTCACTTGTGTTGCCACTGCATTTGATCAGCAAGAAACACCAAGCTTCACCCGTTGCTCAAATCTTTGAACAATCCTGTGCCTATCACTAAGTGCTAGCTTTCAGAGCTATGTTATAGGAATCAAAAGATATCAGTATGATCATATTGAAGAGTGCAGCAGTCTGGAAAGCCTGAATGGCCTACTCCTTTCCTATAGCACCTCCTCAGTACGTAAGACCATAACTAACATTAACCAAATCTCAGCCACACCAAAGTCTCATTGGTAAGTCATGAAGTTCTATTTATTTATTCACAGGATGAGGGTGCCACTAGCTGGGCCAGCATTTATAGCCCATCCCTAATTACCCAGAGGGCAGTTAAGTGTCAACCACATTGCTGTGGGTCTGGAGTCATGTATAGGCCAGACCAACTAAGGATGGCATTTTCCTTCCCCAAAGGACATTAATGAGCCAAATAAGTTTTTCTAAAATCAACAGCAGATTGATGATAATGTTATGAAGTAGTGACTGACCTCCCCCCTACCCCCCAGCTTTGATAACTAAAACCAAAACACCCAGAGAAGTTCACCTCACCTTATAATCTGTTGAAGAAAGTGTGAAAAGTGGTACAACCTTTCTCTCACCACACCCCAATCTGTTATAAAGGAATGGTTAAATGAAAGCAATCCCTGATACTCACTTTATAATAACAACAATTTATTTATCTAACTCTAACAGTAAACAAATTAGCAGAACTACTAACAAACAAACAATTCCCCATTAACTGCTAACTATTCGTGAATAAAACAAAATTCTAATGGTGTGCTGTTCCAATAAATATAAGTCCCACTTATATAAACCAAAGTAATAAGAAAAATAAATTGAAACTTATTGACTCAAAATTACAGCCAGGGTAAGTCTTCCGGAACATTCTTTGCCTTCTCTGCTGTTCTCCAGTCAGGAACACCTTTCTCTGTCGAATTCCACTGTTAGGGACACCTTTCTCTGACAAATTCTTGTGTCAGGAATATTAGCTAAGAGTGCAGTTGTACCTTTAGTTTAGATTATGGTTTTTTGAGAGCTTAGAGAATTCTGTGAGAGCCACTGATTCTTTATTTTATAGCTGACAACTGTTCTCTTGGCAGATGACAGTTGACTCCCACACCGATTTTCAAATGCCCCCTTCTTTTATACCCTTGATGACCTATTAATTTCTTACAATAGGATTGGTCCTAGGTTGTCAAAACCATCAGAATTAAATTTAATTGGGTTTTGGTTTAAATTAATTGGCTAAATTAAAAAATGCTGCTTTGCCCGCTACCAGTGTAGCCTTTTGATACAATGTTTCAATTTCAAGAACTTTCTGTGCATCTGCTGCTGCCTGTAGACATTTTTTTTCTTCTTGTCCAAGCCTAAACAAACTCATCTTTTAAAGGGACCATGCATTCTTCCCTCCATCATTTTGCAAACATCAAATTCTAACATCTGGTTTTCCAATCCATAAATATTCTACCCAACTTCACAACAGTCTTCATTAGACTCTTAATTACAGATTTTCATTAAATCCAAATTCCAACAACTGCTGTGGCAAGTTTCAAACCTGAGACCTCAGAACATTAGCTAGGTCTCTGGATTAACAGTTTAGCGATAATTACCACTATGCCATCACCACCCCTTAAATATTGATTATTAGTAAAAATAAGATTAAATTATGCAACAATAAATGACATATACCTTCATTTCATATGACCCTTCATTCACCTCTCCTGGGCTATATGCACTCACCTGTGCTTTCTCTTTTTCTTTGGTGGGGACAGAACATGTTGGTCCGTGGGCACCTTGTGAATGATAGAAGATTCCTTCACTGCAAACTCATACACCTTGGAGAGAGGACACTCCGCTCAGAAACAGCAAGATTTCATTTTTTAAAAAGTTCATTTGAGTCTCCCATTCCCAGTGAGATCCCCCATGCCTAGTGAGACTCCCATCCCCACTGAATCTCCCATTCCCAGCAAATCTTTCATTCCCGCTGAATC